CCACCAGCTGGTGTCAGGAGGGTACCTGGCTCAGGTGTGGGGGACACGGCCCGGCCCAGTCCCACCTGGTCGAGGCTGCCGCTGTCCTTGGAGAGGCGCCGGAGCTTGCTCTCAAGGTTGACGATGCAGGCCTCCCGCCGCACCATCTCGATCCTCATCTCGTCATTCTTCTCCTCCAGCTCGCGGATCTGTTTCCTGTACTTGTCCTTTTCGATTAAGCACTGTGAGTACTGGGTCTGCGCTTCGTCTCGGGAATGGAAGGCCTGCCAGGGAGAAGGACAAGGGCCACTGAGGTTCCCCTCCCCGCCCCTCCGACCAAACCAAATCGGATCCAGGGACCTGCATCATCTCCAGCACGGGTGTCAGCCACACCGTCTGCTGCTCTTCTCTTGACCCCAGCTCTTGGGCATTTCAGTTGCTACCATCCTCATTAATACTCTCTTAGAGCTGTTTGTCCAGCCCTTGCTACGTGTCAGGCACTGTGTTAAGAGCTTCAACGCTGCATCTCTTGGAGTCCACGTCCTGCGCCTATGAGGTAGGGCTACTGTAATTATTCCAATTTTACAGATGAAGGCACTGAGGTTTCCAGGGGGTGGATACTTGCCTGTAGGCACCTACCTGATGAGTGACAGGCTAGGATCCCAACTTGCCCCTCCCACTCAAGAGACCAGGCATTTAAGAACCATGCTTGGTTGTGGGAGCCATAGGAACCCAGCTCGGACCCCTGTGATACCCAAATGCCTGTAAATTCTGAAAGACTTTTGAGATAGAATTCCTCTTTGGAATAGAAATAGGGATGATGGATTCATGAGTAATCCCTTTATAGTCAGTGACACTACACTGGGCAAAACACTCTGATGGGCCGCAGTGGCCTGGGCCGTGGGCTTTGCTGTGCAGCCTCTCGGTCCCACATGCTCCAGGTGGTGCCTGTACCTGATCCCGCTCCCGCTCCACCTCCTCCAGCTGCAGCATGACCGTGTTCATGCGGTGCTTGTACATTTCACAGTCCTTTCCCAGGGTCGAGCACTTGAGCTCCAGGTCTTCCTTCTCTTCCAGGTACTGTGAGCGACACAGAGAAATCGATACGTGTATCAAGCAATCAATAGGTCAGGGCTGACAGCTGTTTTCTGGATGTGCCTTTCTGCTGGCTGGCTGGAGTTGGCTTGTCCTTCTCTAAGATCTTGTGGACAGAACATGGCTTAAACTCCTGAGAGCCAGCTGTCTGACTGGAAGCGACCATGGTAGTAGACTCAGCCAATCAACTAAGGACTGTTGTGGACCTACTATGTGCCAAGTATGGGAGGATAGTGAAGATACCGTGTCTGCCCTCCTGCGGCCTTTGGTCAGGAGAGGAAGACAGGTGCTAATATTGAGTACCTCGTAAATAACTGCAAGGGGGATGGATGCTGGGAGGTACAGGGAATTTACAACAGGGGTCAGACCTAGTCCCTGGAAAGGAGTGTAGGGCTGGGGAGGTCCTGCTAACACACATCAATGCTCCCTCGTGAGAAGGGGTCCCGTTTGAGGGACTGGCTGGGCAGACACTGTCTCCCACTGTCCCTGAGGGCTCCCACCTTGTCTCGCAGCTCCTCTGCCTGGCGGACCTCCTCCTGCAGGTTGTAGATCTTGTTGACGAGCTCTTGCCGGTCCTCCAGGGCCTCCTTACGGTCATGTTCCAGGATGTCCAGGATGGCCTTGTCCGAGTCTGGCAGGCTGCGCTTCCCAGCCTGGGTGGACAGATAGGAAGGTTTAATAGTGTTGGGGTGGGGCTGGGTGGGGAGCAAGGTGTGCCTGAAAGGCAGGGGACAAAAGAGACAGGGAAGACACTGACAGAGCAGAAGGTTTTGTGCCAGGAAAGTAGAGGCAAAAAGAGATGTCTCTTGGGGTCTTTAAACAGCTTATCACTTAAAAAGTTTATCACCTGGAAAGAAGCATAAAACTCACTCCTGCTCAGGAATATCCTGACACTTTTGTTCTGCTCCAGCTCTTATCAGAGCCCAGAGAAGCAGTTGCTGCTCCTCAACACACTTCACAGGTGACAACAAAGGGAAGGTTGATCTGTTTTCCGGACGCCTCCCCTGAAATATCAATTAATCTGCTCCTATTAAACCTGGATGCATCCTCTGCTCTGAAACAGAGCCCTCAACACCAGGCTGCCAATCCTGGGGGGAATAATTTTGGAGCAAGGAGAGGGATGCATTTTTTTTCTTTCCTTGCAGATGTATTTTGGGATGTTACTCCTCAGCAACTTCCTCCTCCATACCCACAAATGATTCTGAGATGACAAATGTGGGGAGAGGCTTGAGGTTTGAAGAAATGGCATAGAGTTTATAGTTGGGTTTCTTGACATCTTTAAGGGTAGGTAGGTTTCCTGGATGTACTTTTCTCTTCTCGTAGGGCCCAGGGCATTGATTTCTGTGTGAATGGTGATTTTCATGGAGCTCTTCAATTAAGGAAGCGTTTTCACAAGTATTATTTCATAGAATGTCATGTCTCTCACAAGCATTTGTGTGGCTACCCCCACTCTACAGAGGAGGAAACTAAGATGCCCACGGATGACATGCATGGTCTGGGATCCTACAGTCCGCAAGTGGAGCCTCTGGGACTCACACCCAGAGGCAGGTGTGTCTGCCCCTCCGCTAAGGCCTCGACCTCCCCTCTGCCCACAGTGCCCCCCCATCCCCAGGCCCTCACCTGTATGATGGACTGCAGCTCCTGGTTTTTGGTCTTCAGCATCTCATTCTCCCGCTCCAGTTCCAGAACCTGCTCCTTCTTGGGCCGATTCTCGATGTCATTCTTCAGTTTCAGTGACTGATTTCTCTCCAGCTTGCATTCCTCCTCCATCTTATTCAATCGGTGCTTTAGTTGATCGATCTGAAACACCCCAAGGGTACCGAGGGGAGAATGCAGTTGGCAAAAACATTCAGAAAAGGCAGTGCTTTCTCAGATCCCACTGGACTTCCCACTGTGTTATGCCCCCTTTCTCCCCCTTTCAGTTGATGGCAGAGAAAGGCTCAAAGAAACCTTCTCCAATAAAACGAACCAGCATCTCCTTGTTGAGGGGGGAGTTCCTGATTAGCTAATTTAGAATAGTTCTAAAGGAGCTATATGTCTCTTAGAAAATTCTCTCAAGTCGCTTTTGCGGGGTGACACAGGTAACAGATTTAGATAAAAGATACTCCAGCCGGTATTTTCTCAAGGTACATTACCCATTTCAATGCCCTTTTATGGTGGGCTGCAAATTCTGATCCTTGGGACTCAGGATTCCCCTGAAGAATCCTAGGGTTATCGAAGGGGACGAAGAGATGGCTGAGAAATCACCCTGAGCAGAGACAGAAGGAAAGGGAGGGAGCCACCATGCAAGTCTTGGGGGGCAATGGGAAAACAAATGTAAAGACCCCAGGTAGAGAGCACGCCTTTTTCTTTTTTTGAAATGGCAGGGGAGCCACTGGGGTTGGAGCCAACTGAGCAAATGGTACAAAAGGAGGAGGGAGAGATGACCAGGGCCCAGATCATGGGGGCATGGTAAGAACTTTGGAATTAGAATGTTCTAGTTGTGATGGGAAACCACTGAAGGTTTGAGAGCCACCGACCAACTAAAACACCCTGACTTCACCCCCCAGAGCAACTCCACTTGTATGTTTTGTCCTCTTAGGTTTTACACAAAATTTTATTTGAATAAACGGCATTGCTGCTAAAAACAACAAAAACCAAAACAGCTTAAAATCTGCCAGACTGTAACTTCACAGGCTCTATGGCCTAAAGGACTACCCAGATTTAGTGCCAGAAAGAGTGGCTTCCTGGAGGAGGCAGCTACTGCATTTGCAAATGCAACAACTGGAGATGTACCGAGCTTCACCCTCAAGAGTTTAGTGTCAGGAACTAGGACCAGCCGAAGCCTTCTTGAACCTTTGTGACTAAGCCTGTCTGTTTCCCCAAACTGTTTAGCCTTGGTAAAACATCCCCAGAAAGACGACTGTGCTCATGGGCTGTAAGGAAATGAGGCGACAAAGGGGTGGGTGTTGTTTTCCAAGTCTAGGCTTGTGGGGAGAATAGTCTCAAGGAACCTGGTGGTGGGGAAAGGCCTGCTGCAGCACCCCAGTGGTCTGAGACAATGAAGAAAGGGGCAGGCAGGGAAGCAGCCTGGGGCTGAGAAATGACCAAGGGACTCAGGTGGCCAGATGTTCTTTCAAGTTCTACACACACTTTCTTACTACTAATATACCTCCAGGAAAACGTAATACAGGGGAAAGTTCTAGAATAGAAACTTTTAAGTCCCCGATGCAGGCTAATTTCTCCAAATCCTGGGGAAAACAGCACAGGAACTTCTCCTGGTCATGCAAAAAAAAAAATCCTCCTCAGCATCTTCAAAGAACAACCCAAGAGTCCCAGTCCACACGAGTCTGCATGGAGTGCTAACACTGTGGGGTGCTTCCAGGTCAGCCACGCTGCCAAAGACTTAACGGTGCTGTATCTCAGCAGTCCTGAAGCATAGGTATGGTTTTCATTATTGCCATTTGCAAAGGAGGAAACTGAGACCAATCGCCAAGTAAGTGATAAAGCCAGAAGCCAGAATCTGAATTCAAACCTATCAGACTTGAAAGCTCATGCTTTTGACTGAAACACTCTCTTGCCCACTCTGCCACTACTCAATTCACCCGAATTCTAGTGGATTGTTTACTGATCTGTCCG